TTCATAAGTCATTGATAGTACAGTGTTAGAACATTACCTTGGTGAGTTGTCACATGCTCCTTGTTTATTAACCCCTTCACGCCTAAGGGTAAAACAAATCTAAAGGCCTAAGCACAATTCTGCACCGTTGACATGTGATAGCAAAACCGTACATATCATCACAACTACTTTGCACATCCAGGTGGATTATACCTTGATTTTTTCAGGACAAATTGGGCTTTCATTTTGTGGTAAATGGTAATGGATATCTCCTGATTTTTTTTTATTATCAAAAGAAAACTGGCCAAAGTAGTAAAAAAAATCCTTTTTTTTTTTTTTTTAGCTATGTGTTTCTTGTTATGACCATAACCTTCCACCAAAGAGCAACCACAAATAAATTCTCCAGCTCTTGACGATCGCAGCGATACCATATATGTGTATGTTATTTGTTATTTGTTGTTTGTACCCGTAGTACAGCCCAGAAACCATAGTGCGCATTTTGTTTTTGTCTTTTTTTTTTTACCTAAAACACACTGACACTAACTGACACTGACATTAACACAAATTGACACTGATACCAATTTTTTTTTAAATCCTGACCTTGACCTTTGACCCTGACCTTTGACCTTGACCCTGACCTAAACACTAACCCTGTCACTGAACTAGATCAAACCTTGATCTAGGTATTTTTTTTTTATTTTTTATTTTCTTTTTTTAATATTTATTTATCTTTTTTTTTTTTTTTACAAACTTTTTTTTTTCTTCTCTCTGACAGGAGTTCGAGAGATACAATGTATCTCTCTTCTCCATTCATAGAGAGAGAGAGAAAAAAAAACAAGGGGGCCGGGCTGCACAGTGACTGATCACTGTGATAGCCAATCAAAGGCTATCACAGCGATCATGTGACCCGGGACCGGGAGTCCCGGGTCCCGATCGTTAGAACGGGACCCGGTGCTCTCAGTGACACCGCGGTCTCGGTGCTGGGAGCGCGCTGAGGGGCGCGCTCCCAACACAAAGACAGGTACGCAAATATGCGGCCCCACAGAAAAAAGCCCAGGTCCGTGAGGCCGCATATTTGTGTTACGTCGGCGTCAAGGGGTTAAGATAACAAGCAATAACCTGAAAAAGTATTGCTTTCCAAATGGAACCTGAAGCAGAATAAGAGGACGGTAGAGACTATAATATACAATTTGTGGGGGAAATTGGACGTAAATTTAATTTGGGTGCAGCGTTGCATGACCGCACAATTGTCAGTTAAAGTAACACAATGCCGTAACGCAAAAAATGACCTGGTCAGGAAGGGAGGGGGTAAATCCTCTGGAGGGCAAGTGTTTGATGTTCCCGATACCAGGTGCTCAGGAATTTATCCTGGGATTAGAGGATACAAGATTCCAAGACTTTATTTTAACCAACCAATTCCGTGTTCAGCATTTCCTGATGGGAGGCAGATGGCGGTCCATTTAGGAGATCCAGGCCATGCTCTCCCCAACTTTGGACTCATGGAGGGTCATGCAAATACATTTCTTATCCACTATCAGATTGAGTAAGGTGAACCTCCTAGATTGTAAGCTGGAAAGAGTAGGGTCCTCTTACCCCTCGTACGTTGTTTGTTATTGTTGTACTGTGCCATGTATTGTTCCCCCCCCCCCCTATTGTATAGTGCTGAGCAAACCCTTTGGCGCTATATAAACTCGATGTAATAATAATAATAATAATAATAACCTCCGCAGGATTTCCCTGTTCAAGCAACTTTGTTCTCAGACTGCCCCTTTGCATTACAAGCTCTCGTTGATGTCTGCTCTGATCACCAAACCTCCGGAGGACTGTGTTACCCCCCCTTCCTCCAGAAATGGAAAAGGGACTTGACTTATTTTGCACATCAGTCCTCCCTGTCTAGAAGATACCAGGAGGCAGGCTATAAACTGCTGATTCACTGGCATAGGACCCTTGTGCTTCTTCATAGGATCTTTCCTGAGGTTTCTCCATTATGCTGGCATTGCCAACAAGAATCTGGCATGATGTTACATATCTTTTGGTCATGTCTAGAGATGAGCGAATCGAACTTGGCGAAGTGGAATTCGTTTCGAAGATTAGGAAAAATTCGATTATTATCCGAAAATTAGCAGACTTCGGATGCGCGAATCAAAATTTTCAAAAATGGCAGTGACATGTGTGGGCGACGGAGCGGGGATCTCTGGGAAGGCGCGCAGACAAGGCGCGCTGACCCATAATGCATTCATTCATGACATGTGATCGCATTAGCCAATCAGCAGCCAGCCAGCCAGCACTGTGTAATGGTCGAGCTATAAATTGCGGCCATCTTAGAATTCTCCATTAGCCTCCGGTCATTCAAGAGAGACAGACCTCTCTGTATTAGGGACAGAGTTAGGGCCAAAGAGACTTTAGGGCCACAGAATCGTTACTTAGGGACACAGAATTGTTACTCAGGGACACAGAATTGTTACTCAGGGACACAGAACTGTTACTCAGGGACACAGAATTGTTACTCAGGGACAGACACAGAATTGTTACTGAGGGACACAGAATTGTTACTGAGGGACACAGAATTGTTACTCAGGGACACAGAATTGTTACTCAGGGACACAGAACTGTTACTCAGGGACACAGAGAATTGTTACTCAGGGACAGACACAGAATTGTTACTCAGGGACACAGAATTGTTACTGAGGGACACAGAATTGTTACTGAGGGACACAGAATTGTTACTCAGGGACAGACACAGAATTGTTACTGAGGGACACAGAAATGTTACTGAGGGACACAGAATTGTTTACTCAGGGACACAGAATTGTTACTCAGGGACACAGAATTGTTACTCAGGGACACAGAACTGTTACTCAGGGACACAGAATTGTTACTCAGGGACACAGAACTGTTACTCAGGGACACAGAATTGTTACTCAGGGACAGACACAGAATTGTTACTGAGGGACACAGAATTGTTACTGAGGGACACAGAATTGTTACTCAGGGACAGACACAGAATTGTTACTGAGGGACACAGAATTGTTACTGAGGGACACAGAACTGTTGCTCAGGGACACAGAATTGTTACTCAGGGACACAGAACTGTTACTCAGGGACACAGAATTGTTACTCAGGGACACAGAAAACTGTTACTCAGGGACACAGAATTGTTACTCAGGGACAGACACAGAATTGTTACTGAGGGACACAGAATTGTTACTGAGGGACACAGAATTGTTACTGAGGGACACAGAATTGTTACTCAGGGACAGACACAGAATTGTTACTCAGGGACACAGAATTGTTACTGAGGGACACATAATTGTTACTCAGGGACACAGAAATTGTTACTCAGGGACACAGAATTGTTACTCAGGGACACAGAACTGTTACTCAGGGACACAGAATTGTTACTCAGGGACACAGAACTGTTACTCAGGGACACAGAATTGTTACTCAGGGACAGACACAGAATTGTTACTGAGGGACACAGAATTGTTACTGAGGGACACAGAATTGTTACTCAGGGACAGACACCGAATTGTTACTGAGGGACACAGAATTGTTACTGAGGGACACAGAATTGTTACTGAGGGACACAGAATTGTTACTCAGGGACACAGAATTGTTACTCAGGGACACAGAATTGTTATTCAGGGACACAGAACTGTTACTCAGGGACACAGAATTGTTACTCAGGGACACAGAACTGTTACTCAGGGACACAGAATTGTTACTCAGGGACACAGAACTGTTACTCAGGGACACAGAATTGTTACTCAGGGACAGACACAGAATTGTTACTGAGGGACACAGAATTGTTACTGAGGGACACAGAATTGTTACTCAGGGACAGACACAGAATTGTTACTGAGGGACACAGAATTGTTACTGAGGGACACAGAATTGTTACTCAGGGACAGACACAGAATTGTTACTCAGGGACACAGAATCGTTACTCAGGGACACAGAATCGTTGAATTAAAGAGTATGTCAGACAACACGCAGAGGAGTGGCAGAGGAGGCAATGTTTCAGGAGCGAGCAGACGTGGCAGCAGAGGAAGGGGTCGAGGCAGCACTAGTCGCAGCCAGAGGCCAGTGCTCCCGGTGTCATCCAGCGGTCGTGTCTCCACCGACAACCCTGCCGTCATCGATTGGTTGGCTCGGTCATCTTCCTCTTACCAGGTCACCTCTGACACCTACAGCCAACGGTCGGTGGGTACGTCAGACACAACCGTTAGTTGGCATGGCCCGGGAGCAAGCCCACTGAAATCACGTGTCCTCTACCTGCCCCTGTCCTTTGGTGTTCCCTCACCAAGCGAAGTATCGCATGCTGTGGGCTCAGCCCCACTGTACAGTGAGGAAGAGCTAACAGAGGGCGGTCAGGAACGGGGGGAGACATCCGCCTCTTCAGCAGCCAGGCGAAGAAGTACTGGCGAGGAGAGTGGCTCGGTAGCCGGTCTAGAGACAGGTCTGTCTCCTGACCCACACGCAGCCGAGGGGGCTAGTAGTGAGGCGGAGACCCTAATTGATGATGATGAGGCTGATCGCACTTGGCAGCCTCGTCGTCATCAGGCTATTGCTTCCGCATCATCAGGAGAAGAGGGTGCCAGCTTGGCAGCGAGCAAAACAGTCGGTGGGTTGCCCAGGAGGCAGCAGGGTCGCAGCAGTGTCAGTGGAGGCAAACGGCCACGGAGTAGAGCACCAGCTCCACTGCAGCCTACCACCACGGCCAGTAGTGGTGCCGGTGTGCACGGAGGAAGTAGCAGTCAGCCAGTGAGGAGTAGCGGGGGCAAAGTTTCCTACTCGGCGGTGTGGCAATTTTTCATCAAGCCGCCCGAGGAAGTAAACGTAGCCGTATGTCGACTATGTGGCCAGAAAGTCAAGAGTGGCCAGGGGGCTCATGTCTCCATCGCCACACTCTGCCATGTGCCACTTTCAGGTCTCCTCACACTGCTGGTGGGTTCCATTTTGTCATAGGGTGCTGGCAGATTACGGGCCTCCCATTGCTGCTGCCAGGCCCGTAATCTGCCATGGGCCCCTGTACCGCCTCCTCATGCTGCTGCCAGGTCCAGAGTGTGTCATGGGTCCCTGTACGGCCTCCCATTGCTGCTGTCTCCATCGCCACACTCTGCCATGTGCCACTTTCAGGTCTCCTCACACTGCTGGTGGGTTCCATTTTGTCATAGGGTGCTGGCAGATTACGGGCCTCCCATTGCTGCTGCCAGGCCCGTAATCTGTCATGGGCCCCTGTACCGCCTCCTCATGCTGCTGCCAGGCCCATAATCTGTCATGGGTCCCTGTACGGCCTCCCATTGCTGCTGTCTCCATCGCCACACTCTGCCATGTGCCACTTTCAGGTCTCCTCACACTGCTGGTGGGTTCCATTTTGTCATAGGGTGCTGGCAGATTACGGGCCTCCCATTGCTGCTGCCAGGCCCGTAATCTGTCATGGGCCCCTGTACCGCCTCCTCATGCTGCTGCCAGGCCCATAATCTGTCATGGGTCCCTGTACGGCCTCCCATTGCTGCTGTCTCCATCGCCACACTCTGCCATGTGCCACTTTCAGGTCTCCTCACACTGCTGGTGGGTTCCATTTTGTCATAGGGTGCTGGCAGATTACGGGCCTCCCATTGCTGCTGCCAGGCCCGTAATCTGTCATGGGCCCCTGTACCGCCTCCTCATGCTGCTGCCAGGCCCGTAATCTGTCATGGGTCCCTGTACGGCCTCCCATTGCTGCTGTCTCCATCGCCACACTCTGCCATGTGCCACTTTCAGGTCTCCTCACACTGCTGGTGGGTTCCATTTTGTCATAGGGTGCTGGCAGATTACGGGCCTCCCATTGCTGCTGCCAGGCCCGTAATCTGCCATGGGCCCCCGTACCGCCTCCTCATGCTGCTGCCAGGTCCAGAGTGTCTCATGGGTCCCTGTACGGCCTCCCATTGCTGCTGTCTCCATCGCCACACTCTGCCATGTGCCACTTTCAGGTCTCCTCACACTGCTGGTGGGTTCCATTTTGTCATAGGGTGCTGGCAGATTACGGGCCTCCCATTGCTGCTGCCAGGCCCGTAATCTGCCATGGGCCCCCGTACCGCCTCCTCATGCTGCTGCCAGGTCCAGAGTGTCTCATGGGTCCCTGTACGGCCTCCCATTGCTGCTGTCTCCATCGCCACACTCTGCCATGTGCCACTTTCAGGTCTCCTCACACTGCTGGTGGGTTCCATTTTGTCATAGGGTGCTGGCAGATTACAGGCCTCCCATTGCTGCTGCCAGGCCCATAATCTGCCATGGGCCCCCGTACCGCCTCCTCATGCTGCTGCCAGGTCCAGAGTGTCTCATGGGTCCCTGTACGGCCTCCCATTGCTGCTGTCTCCATCGCCACACTCTGCCATGTGCCACTTTCAGGTCTCCTCACACTGCTGGTGGATTACATTTTGTCATAGGGTGCTGTATGGCCTCCCATTGCTGCTGCCTCCACCGCCACACTGTGGCTCCACACTCTGGTTTTGGCCCCGTGACTGCCCAAATGAGTGAAGTGTGCGGTGATTCTAAGATCGACGGCACTCATCTGCATGTCATACTGACTGACAGTATTATTTCTCTTCCCCAGCAGACTCCAAGGGCATTTAAATTAAAGGTACAGTGTTCTGCACTAATATAAAAGGCTCTCTGAAGCCTAGAAACACCCTTTTTATAAGTTATATTCGCAGCGAATATATTCGCCTCAAATCGAATTTATTCCTCGAATTCGCCCAATCAGCCGAATCGAATTTTTGAATACTTCGCTCATCTCTAGTCATGTCCTTGCTTACAATCCTTCAACAGATATTCAACAGCTGATTCATAAGCTTACTGATTTCTCTCTGGAGATGCGCCCTGAGATATTCCTTCCAAACATCACCCTTCTCTCAAGATGTAGGCACAAGAAATTCCTCCTGTTCCACTTGCTTAATGCAGCCAAAGTCTGCCTCCCACAAAAATGGAAACAGACTGACCCCTCCGTAGACCGGTCAATGGATAGCTGTGCTAAACAAGATTAATGATATGGAACACCTAACAGCGGCCTTAACCACTTCCCTTCTGACCCATGTATATAAACAGCCGGACGGGAGCAGTGCAGGGTCGGGTGGCCGTTTATAAATGTCCTCCCTGCTCCCTGCTTGTGCGCGCTCCCGCGATCCGGTGCCCGTTGTGTCCAGAGGAACACCGATCCTTGTACGGGCCCTCTGTGTGAGGTCCCGATCATGTGATCACTGATTGGCCAATCACTGATCACATGAAGAGCAGTGAGCAAGATCTCACTTCTGACATCATTGCTTACTACGTGTGAAATCTATGAATGATCACAGATCACATGGTACAAGGCTATTCACAACAGGGTTGTACCATGTGACAAGCTGTGAATAATCACAGCTCACTCTGTATTTCTCAGTGGCTGCAAGAATACAGCCAGAGATAAGGAGAAATTATTGCTTTTACAGCCTTTATGGGTGTAAAAGCAATCAGTGTAAAAAAAAAATCTGCATCACCCCCCACAAGTAGTACAGTGTCACTATGGTGACACTGTACTGCTAGGGTGACGATATGTAAAAAAAACAAAAACAAAAATAATAATATAAAAAAAAAATAACATTAATTTTTTTTTTTTTTAATTATAATTTTTGGTTATAAACTAATTTTGGGTTTTTTTTGTTTTTTTTTTTTTTTACTAAAAAGCTAACTGAATACATTTTGGCCAAGATTTATGAAGAAAGATTATTTATTTGCAAAATTTATAAGAAAAATACTTTTTTAAAAAAATTGTTGGACTTTTTCATTTATATAGCAAAAAAAAATAAGAATCCCAGTGGTGAATAAATACCCCCAGAATAAAGTTTTATCTGTCTCAAAAAAATGCTAAAAAATTCATATGGGTACAGTGTTGCATGACTGCGCAATTGTCATTCAAAGTATGATAGCGCTGAAAGCTGAAAATTGGCCTGGACAGGAAGGGGGTAAAAGTGTCTGGACTTGAAGTGGGTAAAAACGAAAAGGGAACAATTCTGTAAAACATGTTTTCATTAGCATGGCTTCCAATGTTCACAAGACTATGCTTTGTTCTTGTCCTCTCAGGTCACACAGGCTCAGGCCCTGTAAGGACTAGATTATCTGTCCTTTGCATTCTTCTGGATAGGCACAAGTCCCTGTACCCCCTATCCACAACCCCTTTCTTTTTTTTTTCCCTTACACTTTTTTAACTTATTTCTTCCTAAGATCCCCATGTCTAGACTGTAAAAACGCTCTTTTGACCTAAGCCTGCATGGGTGGGACACCCACATATGCACCTGCATGGGGGTGGTCATGAATAATATGTGATTTATGATCATATGCCTTGAATTTTCATTAATACTTTCCATGTAACCAGTTTTCTACTGGTCTGAGAGTCATACAAAATGACACATTTCTGGATGTACATTAAATTTTCACTGCTCTTGTTGTGTACATCTGCCCTGACAGGCAGACTGTTTACCATTGCTCTGTAATATGTACTTTGCTGAAGAGCGAGATAAAAACTTAAACTAAAAAAAAAAAAGATGCCTTGGAACCTTCTTAGGACATGGCAAATTACACAGGAGTGTCTTGTAAAAGAAAAATCCAATGGCAGAATAAAATTGGTTAACAATTGAGGTTTTTGTTTTCTTTCTAATCGACCCCAACATTGTACATCATAATAGAGGGTGAAACACCAAACTATGAACAATCCCATAGATGGTTGACAGAACCCCGTTAGCCACTGAATTTTACCTAATGAGATGCTGAAACCCTACTAGTTCTGTGCTAATACCAGCATTCCAAACATCACTTTCTATCACTCTCATCTCTAATCAGTGCTAGCTTATTTTTTTTCCAACTACCAAGGCCCAAGCGGAATCTAAAAACAGAGACATGATCAGAATTACAATCCTAGAGAACATGTACTGAGAAGTTTAACAGGGCGTATATAAGGGGAAATCAGGGGTGTGTGAAACCTACCCCACAGGAGAGTTGCCAACCCTCCCTTATAGTAGCCCTCAAAATTTCCACTCTCCCACTCGCATTGGGCGAGTGGAAATAGGGTGGCAGCGAGCAGTGCCAGGACTAGGGGTGTGTGGGAGGGGCAGCGGTGGGGGCAGTGACAAGCAGCGATCTCCTGTATGTATATGGTATGCCTCCTGCGCTATTATGCGCCCTGTCGCTAAAGCAGCTAGCACTTAAAAAAAAGAACCCAGGCATGAGATACAATATAATGGAAATAGATAGTGCAGCGCTAGAAATAAAGTGCTAATATACATTCTAAATACACATGCAATAATGGTGATACCCTTAACATGGGGTATATCTACAGTTGTGGCCAAAATTATTCAACCCCCAATGCTGTAAAGGGGTTTAGGGACTATAGTGTACATTTGGAATTGTATTCAGAATCAAATCCTACAAGGACGTTGTAACTACCCAAATGCAACTAAAATGACATCAAATTGTTTATGTAATACAGTAGTAAATGGTTCTTATGTGGTTTCTTCATTGCCACAATTATTCAACCCCTTTGTTTCTAAAGACTACCACTCTGAAGAACAGAGGTTCATACAGGGTGTGCTTTCCATCAGGTATTGAAAACACCTGTGGATGTCACCCCTGAGCAGCAATCAAGCATAATAAGCACCAATTAGGCAGCTTTAAAAATGACTGTGATACTCAGCTCCTTCTAGACATTTACTGGTGTGGTTACAAACATGGTGAAGGCAAGAGAATGGTCCAGGAAGACAAGAGAAGAGGTGATTTCTCTTCACAGAAGGGCAATGGCTATAAGAAGATTGCAAAGATGTTAAACATACCAAGAGACACCTTAGGAAGCATCATTCGCAAATTCAAGGCAAAGGGCACTGTTGAAACGCTACCTGGTCGTGGCAGAAAGAAGATGCTGACTTCGACTGCTGTGCGCTACCTGAAGCGTAGAGTGGAGAGAAGTCCCCGTGTGACTGCTGAGGAACTGAGAAAAGATTTGTCAGATGTGGGTACAGAAGTTTTGCAGCCCAGACAATAAACGCACACTGCGTAATGAAGGCCTCCGTGCCAGAACTCCCAGGCGTACCCCCTTGCTGTCTCCAAAGAATAAGAAAAAGTCGACTGCAGTATGCCAAAAGCCATGTGGACAAACCAACAAAAGTTGTGGGATAGTGTTCTGTGGACTGATGAAACAAAATTAGAACTGTTTGGGCCCATGGATCAACGCTATGTTTGGAGGAGGAAGAACAAGGCCTATGATGAAAAGAACACCTTGCCTACTGTGAAGCATTTTACCTGGAGGGTCAATCATGCTTTGGGGCTGTTTTTGCTTCTGCAGGTACAGGAAGCTTCAGCGTGTGCAAGGTACCATGAATTCTCTTCAGTACCAGGAGATATTGGATGGAAACGTGATGCAGTCCGTCACACACCTGAGGCTTGGGAGACGTTGGACCTTTCAACAGGACAATGATCCCAAGCATACCTCCAAGTCCACTAGAGCATGGTTGCAGAGGAAAGGCTGGAACATTTTGGAGTGGCCATCGCAGTCACCAGACTTAAATCCGATTGAGAACCTCTGGTGGGACTTAAAGAAAGCAGTTGCAGTGCGCAAGCCTAAGAATGTGACTGAACTGGAGGCCTTTGCCCATGAAGAATGGGCGAAGATACCCGTAGATCGCTGCAAGACACTTGTGTCAAGCTATGCTTCACGTTTAAAAGCTGTTATAACTGTAAAAGGATGCTGTACTAAGTACTAAGATTGAATGTCACTTGGGGTTGAATAAAACTGATAATGCTGTGAGCACAGAAAAGACATTTGTGGTTATTTCATTATAACTGTTATGTTATATTTGTCTGACCTACAAGTGCCTCTTTAATGTAAATGTAAGCAATATGACTGAATAGATCAAAAGCAATGTCAAACTGGCCAAAACACTCAATTTCAGTGGGGGTTGAATAATGGTGATTGGCCACAACTGGGGTATGTGTCACTCTCGGTGCTGTGAGCAGTATTATATAGTGCAGTCCACACACATGCTGTACAGTGAGATCTCCACGTTATAACAAACACATGATAGGCTCTTTGTGCACGTGCTCCACACTGAGTGCAAACAAACGGGATGTCAATCCACAGTGACAGGGGTGCCCCCTCACCTTCCTGCCCAGGCCCCCTCAGGACCAATGAGCCAAAAAAATGTTTTGTTAGGTGAGTGGAAGCCAGTGGAGAGATTGGCAGAGAGGAGTAGAAGACACTGAATGGTGCACACAATTTTAAGGATTGGCATGTTTTGGACAGACTCATCGCCTGTTTAGCTTCTTGCAACTACAAGTCTGGTGCTATACTCAGAGGTTCCGGTTTCAGTGCTAATGAAAGGGTCCCATCACCACTGCTGAGGACAATCTGACGGGCTGTGGGAGGAATAACTAAGCATTTTTTTGGCTCATTGATCCTGAGGGCCTGGGCAGGAAGGTGAGGGGGCACCCCTGTCACTGTGGATTGACATCCTGTTTGTTTGCACTCAGTGTGGAGCACGTACACAAAGAGCCATTTATGTTTTGTTATAACGTGGAGATCTCACTGTACAGCATGTGTGTGGACTGCACTATATAATACTGCTCACAGCACCGAGAGTGAAC